TTGTCTCACATGTTACAAACGCCTTGGGTCTAGAATGGCAGTTTTATAAAATTCTTTTATTATGAGCCATATTGTTTATAGTATGCTTCCTTCTGTGTATAAAATTTTCGGTTGTCTCAGGGCAATTCTATAATGTACCTTGCCATATTCAGTTAGGCCTATCATGCATTTAGGTCGTGGATGTACTAATGGAGTACTCTATTTTTTTGGTTAGTTAAGAATAGAGTATGCATGTTGTCGGTAAGGGATTTGATGTAGGTGTAAAAATTAACTGCATTGTTCGGATCAAACGGAATCTTCACATATAGAAAATATAATATTGAATGATCACTCAATAATTCCGCACGGGGTCTCGGATTATGAATTTGATTAACTAAATTCAGCAGGAGGGAAAAATTACTGAGGCAGTTAATTAATTAGTAAAGTGTTTGATTCGTGGACTTATTTGTTTTAAAAATCTGCATGAAATTCTTATGTCAACAGACATATTGGGTTTATGCATTGTGTGAATAATAAAAAAACAGTGCGGTTAATGAATTTGTAAATATTTGTGTTTAAGAAAAATGGGCATGATATCAATGTGCATTTAAACCTTTGATTTTTTGTGGATTCTGTGAATAAAATAATTCAGGAAAATTTCTTTTTGGAAAACGAATTACTTTGTGAACCTCTTAAATGTTTACGTTTTACGGAGTATTCTGTTTGGTACATTGTGCTTAGAAAAATTGGTTTTAGGAGAAAATATGGCTAATGTTCACTGATTAGAAAAAAAAAATTGAGTGATCACTCGGTATTTGTGCTTGGGGGTCTCAGTAAATGAATTTCTTCAACAAAATTTAATGGAGGTGGAAATGATTACTGCAGTGCAGTTGATGAACCTGAAATTGTGTTTTTTTATCACAATTTCAGGTGAAGCTACAGAGGTACATTCCCGGGGAAGCTGGGCGTAGAGAAACGTACCTGTAGACTGGTCTGGAGGAACTTGGCCGGGCCTAAATCGATCTACCCTATGTCTAATTATTAGATAATTTACAGACCGAAAATAAAATAAAATAAAACAACGGCCATATGAAAGGCATTCTTCAGGACCGAATATTATAACCATCCAACGAAACCCTGCAGGTTCAACGTCGTTCTGCAAATTTATGTGTAGCGAATCATAAGTGTGTACTAAAAACCAGTTTCCATCATATAATATGCCATATATCACCCCCCCCCACCCCCCGATTGGCTGCCATGCCAGGGGGCAGTTAGTTTCACACTTTCACTTGGGCAGTTCTTATAAGGTTTATTATTAATAATACAAACTTTTTGTTAATCATTGAGGTAAAATCCGAAATATTATTTGGCAGGAATCATAAGTGTGTACTAAAAACCAGTTTTCCATCATATAATATGCCATATATCACCCCCCACCCCGATTGGCTGCCATGCCAGGGGCAGTTAGTTTCACTTGGTCAGTTCTTTTAAGGTTTATTGTTAATAATACAAACTTTTTGTTAAATAGTACAAACTACAGTTAGTTTCACTTGGGCAGGTCTTATAAGGTTTATTATTAATAATACAAACTTTTTGTTAATCATTGAGGTAAAATCCGAAATATTATTTGGCAGGAATCATAAGTGTGACTAAAAACCAGTTTTCCATCATATAATATGCCATATGTCACCCCCCTGATTGGCTGCCATGCCAGGGGCAGTTAGTTTCACTTGGGCAGTTCTTTTAAGGTTCATTATTATTAAAACAAACTTTTGTTCACTATGTGCTTTCGTTAAGAATACAAACATTTTAATTTAATTCACTAATAAATAATGTAGACTGTGTTACACTGCAAAAGTTACACGGCTGTGCATTATTAATTTTTCAGATAGTATTGTGTGAAAGATGTGCCACTAAATGAGTTATGGAAAGATGATGTTTTGGGTAAATAAAAATCCATGCATGCATTATAAATATCATTTTCACACAAAAATAATTATGTAATATGGCAGTAATAAACACAGATTTGCTAGATCTGTGGATGGTAAATACAGTGATTTGTATACAAGTCCGATTGGGTTGTTTTACGAAAACAATTAACCGGTGAGGTGATTGTGTATAGTAGAGTGAGTGTGTTTCTTACCGTTTGTGTAGTTTAGAGGGGCGTACGATGCGAATTAGGCGGAGGTGGTGGTGGAGGCCTTCCATCGGTTGGTTCGTGACTGTTGGCTGAATATGTTGCCGGCGGATTCGCACGAGTTGGGGCTGCCTGGGTGATTCTCAACCGGCCATAGGTTAAACTGTTGAAGGAAGTGTTAGGGGTGGGGGGTTGTTGCTGTAGTTGGGTAGAGAGGCTGGCCGAGGGTAATTGTTGGGAATAGGGCTGGACTCGGGCCGGTTCGGGCCCGGTTCGGGCCCGGTTCGGGCCTGGGCCCGGCCGGGCCTCGGGCCAGGAAAGGGGAGGCCCGAGCCCGAACCGCCGGTGGCCGGTTCCGGTCCCGGTTCCGGGCCAAACCGGGCCGGGCCGAACCGGCCCAATTTTTTTTTTTTTTTTTTGTTCTCCTATTTAATCCCCTACCCCTCCCCCTCAACCCCAAACCATCCCAAACCACCTCAAATGGCCCAAAATACCTAATCCAACCTAAAACTTAAAAAAAATTCAAAAAAAAAAAAATTAAAATCCGGCCCGGACCGGGCCCGAACCGGCCGGGCCGGTTTACCAAAACCTGGGCCAGAGCCCGAACCGCCCAGCAGCCGGGCCGGGCCGAACCGAACCGGTGGACCCACCGGGCCGGGCCGGGCCGGGGCCAAACAGTAACCGGGCCGGGCCGGTTCCGGGCCGGGCCGCCCGGCCCGAGTCCAGCACTAGTTGGGAAGAAAGGAAGGGTTTATTCTAGAGAGGAGTTATAAGGTTTAATAATCGGGCCATACTTATGGGCCTAAAATACTCAAAATAAATAGATTCATTAATCCCGGCCTGTGTATATGCTTAGGATATGCCCAACACATTCAAAAATGGATTAGTTTAATTTGTTTTAAATAAAAAGTACTCCCTAATGATGTGGAGTTATAGTTAGGTGTATTAACTTTAAATAATATCCTTTCCGAAAAAAACTTTAAATAATATCCGTTTTAAAAAAAACTTTAAATAATATCCACGTTCAACATAAACCAATAATGATGAGATTTCATTTGTTTGGTGAAAAAGTTAGCAGATAAGCCTGATAAGACGAAAAATAATATCATCCAATAAACTCTTAGAGTCCATTTGATAACACTAAAATTGACTTAATTGTAATACAATAAAAAAATAGAGATTTTTCAAAATTATTTATGAAATACAAAATATTTATAAAAATTACAAATCAAAAGTAATTTGCAAAAAGAAGACTAAAATTACTATGGATATAATGTTATTGTAACTTGATGTGAAAATTGAACAAAAGCTATATGACTGAAGTTAATGTCGTAATCACTATACTTAAGAAGTCACATTTTTCATAAGCAATCTTTATTTTAGTAAAAAAATGTGTAATTATTTCGAAAACATTATATGCATAAATGGAGGGGCATTTTTGTCTTTTCATATGGGATTGGGGTGCAAATGCAAAGTTTTTTAAAAACGGGGTGCAAAGTCTAATTTGGACAATAAAATGGGGTGCAAACTCAAATTACCCCATACCTAAATTTGTCCTGTACATTATTAGTACATGACCTGTTTGAACATATTTGCATAAAATTATATTTAAGCATAGTTTAAGAATGACATAACATATTTTCACATATTTGCACCCCCCGATTTGCCAGTTTACAAAAGCAATTCGTCTAACAAATGCAATTCGTGTAACAAATGCAATTCGTATAAATATAAAGTCACCTTATTACTCAATCATTATAAATAATTTTATAATATGAAAAAAATCTTTGCTAAAATTTTCTCGAATAAAGGATTTTAACATGGGTTGGTGAGAGACAAAAAGTGTTAATTCTCAAGCATTCCTTAATACCTTCGGATATTTGCTTGCCATTTCAATATATTCTGGATATAATAATACCCAAAAATGACTTATCATGTCATGACTACAAATAAAAGTAAAAAACAGTCTTATCGCGTGTTGGTTTATTGTTAAGAACCCCTATTTTATTCATGGTTAACCTTCGGGCTGTTTGTTAATCAACGTTTTCAGCCCAAATCTGCAATTATTAGCATTTGTGGTGTAAGAAACATAACATTTTTGCTCCACATGCTAATATCCAAACAAATTATTTGCGTGGTTGTGTGAAGAGTGATCATTGGTAAATCATATTGTATATGTTTCATTTCACGTCAAATTTTATAATTGCAAGAAGTAAATTCTTAACGATTTAAGTAAAATTACAATTTTTTTTCAAATTTAATTGAACTTAATTACACGAGTCAAATTCACCCCCTGATTTGCCAACTTACACTTATTTCAGTCTCAGACCAAACCTGCAAACGTAAACAAACCAGACCAGACTTGGATATTAGAAATAATAGAAGCACGTATTTGAACATTTTCCCACAAATTTAGATTCAAGTATAATTCAAGAATGACCAGACCATACTTAGATATTAGAAATAGTAGAAGCACGTATTTGAACATTTTCCCACAAATTTAGATTCAAGTATAATTCAAGAATGACACAACACACTTTCACATATTTTACTCCCTTAATCTCTTTCATGTTGTCATCAATTGATAGTGTGATTTGAATTACTAAGCACACATAAATTTGAAAGAAAAATTCTCAAACCGTGCATCGCACGGGTGAATTTACTAGTACTACTAGGACAAAAAACAGTTAAAAAAACAATTGTGCAAAACTACGTCGTTTTGGGTGTGAGAGCACGGTGCTCATCCATACGCGTGATTTCCGTAAGTGGGGACCGCATGTGATTTTCGGATAAAGCCCAAAAAAGGGAGACCCAAGTGGGACCCCGTTCATCCCTTTCACGCAAGCATTGGAGCATCTCGGCCTCCCGAACCTTTCCACAGACCGAGCATTTTCTTCCACGTGGCATGTATCCGTTGCCTCGCACTCTGCTTCGGCTTCTTGATCATCTCCCCCTTCTGAAAACTTACTACTTCTCTCCCTACACTTTGAACATAACTACAAAAGTGATCCTCAGCAGATTTTCCAGCCTGAAGGTTCGTTTCCCCTGTTATTCAATTGATTTCAATCAATACCTTTTACACTGTTGTGCTGCTTCTGTCCTTTGGTTTTTACTTTCTTTTTGTGTTGAAATTTAATTTATTTGTTATAAAAAATGATTCCACTTGCAAAGGTTTTATTTTTCTTGCAACTTTCATTAAAAAATTCTGGTTAGCGATTTTCTTCAAGTTTCCCTTATTTTCCGTTCACTAGAGTTGAGAAAAGACCAACAAGGGGATATGATGAAGAGAGAAAAAGGGTGGTACTGGAAACTAATTAGGCTCCGTTTGGTGCTGCTTTACTCACTTGTATGGTTGAAATGGAGGTCACAATAGGCTTTTCTTATCATTTCAGTCAAATATCACTTATCGAACGGGCCCTTAGTTGTCCAAGCTAAAGACAGCACCTTTTGTGGGAAAGAGAGAGGATAGGAATATAGGGCTCAGCCTTCCAGTTTTTCCTGTATGTCTTTAACAATAGTATATAAGTATGCAATCTAAAGGTTGCAGCATGGAGTGCTTTATGAAGTGATCTGAGTCATAATCCGCATAATTTTTAACTACATGCAGACTATGAACCAAATAATATACTGTAATCTGTAAACACAATGAGTTCATGAAAATTTGAGTGTTCACTGTCAAGTAAAATATCATTTTTGTTATAAGTATCCAACATGGATAAAATATGGACTTCTTCGCCTTATGTAGGCTGAAGGTCAAGGTACCTCATGCTCTTATATGCTGCGGAGCTTATTTAGAACTTTAAATTTTAAGAATTTGCTTCCTTCTGGCCAATAAAAACCAACTGCCGGTGTTAACAGTGTCTTTTTTGAGCACATGTCCTATTGCCAAGAAAGAGGAATGCATGTGATTACACTGAAAAAGAAATAAAATGGTATAAATGACAACTAATCCATAATCTTTGCCTCTTAGGTGTGGTGTACTAATACTTTATGTAGCTTTGTGATCTTTCACTTGACAAACACGTCATTGGAAAATAGAGAAGGCCTTCAGGTAGTATGATATGTGATACTGAGCTACTATAGGAATGTCCTTGTGCAACATTTATTAAAGAAATAAAGTTGAATTTTAGGCTCACAAGGTTTGATATTCTTGTTTTATTTTGACTTTATAAATATTTGGAAACAATTTACTATTTTTTCAGGCAGGATACAGAGTAGATTTCATGTAGATCCCACTACCAAGAGTGGATGCTTTAGATGGGAGGTGTTTGTTCTAGGAAGCGGGACCAGTTGGTTGAGGATCACAACATACATAGAGGAGTGCCGGGACATTATTGCAAGAGTAGTAGTTCAAAGTGGCTCGGGAGTTCATCTTCTCGATCATCTTTCAATGCCAAAGATGGAAATAGAAAATGCCAATCACTCATGGAGTTGTGCATCTCTACAATTTGTGAAGTATGTTTGTATTTGTTTGTGCTTTGATAAAAACATGACAGTAGTTCATTTTGTGCAAAATAAACACTGACTCTACAACATTTTTAATGACAGGACATAGACAAATATAACAGCTTCTCAATGCTGCCGAGGGATATAAGTCAACAAATCTTTGATGAGTTGGTTTATTCACAAAGCCTCAATGAAGTCGGACTTGAAGCTTTTCGGGATTGTGCTCTTCAGGTATCTTGCATTCATATGTTTTAAATTGGGTACAACTCAGCTCAAAAGAATCTTCAAGAGGCGAAGCTTATTTCACACAACCTCTAAAGGGGGTTCTCCTGGTTTACCATTTACCAAACGTCCAAACCTCACATCTATATACTTGACCCAAACCCAAATAGACAACCGATGTAGATGTTGAACATCTGAAGCATAGTTGTCATGGCGTTTAACAACAGTCATGGCGCGAAGGCATTTGTCTGGTGATGGGCGATGATGCATTTATGGCGTCGCCACACGACACAAAAAATAAATACCAAAAGTACAAATTATAGACAGTACAAATCTATGATTCAAGCACCAAAATGTGAGCAAAAGAGTTGAATACCCACATTCTAACCAAAAAGATGTTAAGTTAAAATAGTTTCTAAAAATAAATTACAACAAAAATTGTTGTATTATAAAACTTACCCTTCAGTCTATAGTTCACTGTCCTTCTGAGCTATCAAATTATAACGGAACATATCAGTGACTGGTATCTCCTTACCATTTAAAGTAATCGCAAATTATAAGTTTGTTTCTACCTTAAGCAAACTTGCACTCCATATACTTAGTAGTCTAGTAGTTCACCGTCCTTCTGAACTATCAAATTATAACGGAAGATATCACTGCTCCTTACCATTTAAAGTAATCACATTATTACCACCGCTTCTACCTCAAGCAAACTTGCACTCCATATACTTAGTCTTGCTTTGACTCGGCCTGAACCCCTTGTTCTCCAAAGTTTATCATCATATTCCAACTTTGCTTTAACACATGATTGTGTCTCATCTATGAATACAATATCATCAAGTATATTCTTCTTGAATTCACTTCGTAAGTTCATTTATGACCATAACAAATAATAAAGGACACAAAGCCGATCCTTGGTGCATTACGATAGTAATAAAGAACTTTGCAGTCCCCCCTACACCAGTAAGGACACTTATAGTACAATCCTCATACATATTCATGATGATGTTGATATACTTACGTGATATGACTTTTCTAGTTAAGGCCCCACCAAAGGGCTTCTTGAGGTACCCTATCATATGTCTTTTCTAAGTCAATGAACACAAAATGCAAATCCTTTATATCCAAAAAAATGTTTCATGTCTCTTTCCAAAATATGTCAACTTGTTTTTTGATGATTATGATATAATCATCATCATCATCTGGATCTGAATATGATAACAATGGAAGATCATCCTCATTCATTTCACTCTTAGAAGGATCTTCAAGTCTCATATTTGTCTGGCAGCTAATGTGTTGTAGTTCCCCTTAAGTCTCCCACTCTTGCGCAGCTTTCTGATTCTGTCTTTACGCTTGTTGCAGCTTTTTTCCGGCTTTACTTTAGCTGGTGTCTTTATTTACTTCTTAATAGGGGTTATATTAATATTACGGGCATACTGATTAGTTAATAAATTATCAGGGCCATAGCCCAAAAGTAACTAAGTAGACCTGTTAAAATCTGCTTAAAACATGGCTCACATGGCATTGCGATGGCGCAAATATGCGCCGGTACATGTAGAATCATCACGAGAGGGCTTTTTGTGGCGAGCAGGCTCTGTATCGCCACATGGCGCATACGGAGCCATATTGCGCCATTGACAACTATGATATGGAGAGTAACATGGTTGCCACGTTAGCCTGAGACCTAGCGCCTACTCAGCTGTTTAGATGAGAACTAGGTGGAATTAAGCGGTGCCCAGGCTTGTAATTCAGATTTTGACAAGAATGGTTTAAATTAGATATATTTCATAATTATTGCTAACTTTTTTGGCAGGATGTTAATTTGGGAGAATACCCGGGCCTTAATGATAGTTGGATGCACGTCATATATTCACAGGGTTCATCTCTTCTATCTGTGGATCTTTCTGCTTCTGATGTCACAGATTATGGAATGGCACAGCTAAAAGATTGCAAAAATCTTCAAGAACTGAATTTTAACTACTGTGACCAAATTTCAGACCGTGGGCTGGAGCATGTTTGCTGTATGTTCTGTCCCTCCCATTGTGCAGTAGCTGACATAGTGACATACCTTTCCTACCCATTGTCTGAAAGAAAACTAAGGGTAGAAAAGGGTGCTACCTAACTGAAATGAAGGGAGACATAGAAGTAGAAGTGAGGCAAACTCACACCATCACATTTGACTTGAGTAAACTATGTTTGGATTGGTGGCATGAAACCAAACTATGTTTGGATCAGTGGCATGAAATCCAAATATAGCCGTTTAAGACCGGTTTAGTAATCGTTACTTGGCAGAAATTAATCTGTCGAGTTGATTAAAAGAAAGAACATTTGGTCGTAACTTTCAGCCAGATAAGTAAAAAGTTACTGAGATCCCATATGGTAAGGGTTATTTGGATGGAATCGATTTCAGACATATATATCGGTCAAATGCTACTTTTTTGTGTGTATTTACTCCTTATTAAATTTATAGTATCTGTTGAACATGATGATAATCCTGATTGGGATGAGACTCAGCCAAAAAATCATCAAGGGCTCAAATGCTACTTATTGTGGTTATTGTACTAACAAGCAGAATAGTTTGACTAACTACTAGAAAATTTAATGCTTATTCTTGTTGAAACAAAATATGTTGATTATGGCTAGTAAACGAAAGGTCCGTTGGACAAGGGTTATTTGGCTGAAATGGCTAAATGTTATAAAAGAAAAAACGTTGGGGTAACATTTAGTTCAGCAAAATAAGAAAGTCAAAAGCTCACTACTTTTGTTTGAGTTAGCCAGCAATGGTTGCCAAATGGAGCCGAAGCTATTAGTCTCATTAAATCAGTTAGCAATATGAAGGAAAAAGTATAATTAAAAAGAGTTTTCTTCGTTTTTCATTTTTCTTTAATGAGAAAGGTAGCGTGAGCTGACTAACATCTGATCTGATTTTTCAGGCCTTACAAGCCTGACAAGCCTAAGTTTGAGAAGAAACAACATGGTTACAGCTCAGGGAATGAGTGCTCTGTCTGGATTAATCAATTTGGTGAAATTGGACTTGGAGAGATCTCCTAAGATCCATGGGGGGCTCGTCTACCTTAGAGGTTAATTCCACTTTGTGTCTTTTTCCCTTCTAAAGATTGAGTATAAAATTAAATTTGAAGTTTAATTTAAATTAAGCAAAATGACTCACTAAACTGCCTGCGCTTCTTTGTTATGAAGCAACAGTCAGTCCATACAATTTTCTGAAAGTCATCCGAAAATAGTCTCTCTGTGCTTTATTGCTTAGTACAGGAGTAAGACTGCGTACATCCAACCCCCCTTACCCCGCTGTAGGTGGGAGCCTTTGCGGCATGAGGTAATGTTGTGGTTGTTGATCATAACAGATAGAAGATAGATTTATTACCTGCATACAAAAAATGTCTTGTTTTGTGAAGTTACAACATTTTTAAATGTTGGCAAGGTACACAGTCGTGGGATTGTATTAATAATTGGTTTTTGTTTAACTAAATTAATTCCATTTAACTTTTCTCTCTCTTTTTATTTTATCTTTTTATCTTCCTTATCTTTCTTGTGTTCTTTTAACTTATACTACGTATTTATTATCTTATCCTTGTTATCTTACCTTTTCTTTTCTTTTCTTTTCTTTTCTTTTTGGCTCCGGTATCATGTATTGATTCATGTTAGCCGACCCCAAAATCTTTTGGGAATAAGGATAAAATGTTGTTGTTTAGGGATTATTTGCATGGATTGAAGGTTGTGTTTGTACAATATAATATATGAGACACAAACTTTACAGTAGTTATTATAATATTTAAAAAGTTTCGAGTTTCATGCTTCTAACTTTCTGCAGGCCTTACCAAACTTGAATCTCTCAACATCAATTGTTGCAATTGCATCACAGACTCTGATATAAAGTCTCTTACTGGTATCTCTTTCTTGTGTTATGATTCTCAATATTACACCCCTTTCTATTCTCAATGGCCATTCAAAATTTGGAAGTATTATGTAAAAAATCAAAAAGTTTGAATCAAATTTTATTAAGTTTTCATATTTTTCTAGTTAAATACTTGGTGTTGATGATCACTTTCCCTACACTTTTCGTGTTTTAAACATAACCTATAAGTGATGAGGGAAGCACAAATGAAATCCGTTGAAAAGAGAAGGGTAAAAGGGAAGTCCATGAATCGTATGAATGTCATTTGGGTTTGTATTTGTTTTTCATTTCAAATATTTTTTGAGATATCCATGTATATACCTGAAGATAAAGTGGTGGAGGCTCAAGGGGGATCTCCAACAAAGTTTTGCACACACAATGTTGAATTAAGATGTATGGTGTATTGAAAATGATGTACATGTAGATGATGTGTGGTTCTCAATGGAGTCGGCCATTAACAAAGTGTAGAAAGAGATACTTGGAGAATCTAAAGGATGTCACCTACCAAAAAAGGACACATCTTGGTGGAATGATGAGGTGAAATGGAATACTACAAAAAGTTGGAAAAAAAATTGGAGCAATGAGAACATAGAGGAGTACAAAGAGGCTAAAAGAAAACAAAGACGTAAAGGAAGCAAGAGGGAAAGTGAAGGAGTTGTAAGGAAAAAGACATTTACAAATTTGTCCGCCTTTGTGATTGTAGGACTCAAGATGTCGGACAAGTTAAGTGTGTGAAAGATGCCAATTAAAGTGTACTAATGGAGAATCAGGAAATAAAAGAGAGGTGAGGGTAATACTTTGATACCTTGTGCAACGGGAATAAAATGCAAGGTATTGATGATGTTACTAGACCAGATTGTATGATAAATCGGGACTTCGTGGGAAGGATCCAAACGACATAAGTTAAAAGGCTTTGAGAAAAATGGGGCAGAAGAAAGCAGTGGGTCCAGATGGCATACCGATTGACGCCTGGAGATGTTTGGGAGAGAAAGACATCGAGTGGCTAACACGTTTCTTCAACATGATTTGAAGAAACAACAAATGGCAGTGAGTTGGCGAAAGAGTACCCTCATTTCGCTATATAAAAATAAGGATGATGTACAAGAATGTGCCAATTATCGAGGGGTTAAGCTTGTGAGTCACACAATGAAACTTTTAGGCCGAGTGGTTGAGCAAAGACTCAGAAAAAGTGTGAAAATTTATGAGAAACAATTTGGTTTTATGCCTGGACGCTCAACAGTTGAAGTCATTCACCTTTTTAGACAAATGTGAAGAAGTATATTGACAGCAAAAAAGATCTACACTTGGTGTTCTTTGGTGGGCCATAACTATAAAAGGTATATCACGTAAGTGTATCAGTATCAAGAAGATATACCGTGGTGCATGATGTTTGCCGATGATATTGTATTGATTGATGAGATGTAAGCGGGTGCTAAAACAAAGTTAGAAGTATGGCGACAAACATTGAAGACCAAAGGTTTCAGACTGAGCCGAAGCAAGACTGAATATATGGAGTGCATGTTTGGTGGAGGTAGAAGTGATAGTAACATTGGGATTATCCCTGATGACAAGAGAAATACCCGTGTGTGATATGTTCCGTTGCTTGGGCTCCATACTTCAAAAGGATGGTGAGTTAGATGGAGATGTATCCCATAGAATCAGAGTAGACTGAATGAAATGAAATAGTGCATTAGGATTTCTATGTGATCGTGGTATGCCGACTAGACTGAGGGTTAAATTTGATAGGACAACAATTAGGTCTGCATTAATGTATGGTGTAGAACTGATATGCTTCTTCTTGGGTTGTATAAGAGTATGCTTTGGAAAGAGCAAAGTGTAGATCGCATATTCATGTGTATGATTGATATCTTTTCTTTCTTTTCTCCCTTAAAAAATTGCCAACTTTCCTTTTTCGTTTGTTCCACTAACTTCGCCACTTTCCCTTTTAAGTAAACAATTAGTGGTTCTAGTTAATTCTCTCTCCTCTGCACATATCTCGACCACACATTTTTTACTTTATTAATCTCCGTGCCGGTCAAATTAGACCATGTTCTAAGGGACGGAGGGAGTATCTTCTTTATTTTTTTATGTTCTTATGTTTTTTTATCTTTTATCTTTCTGATGCTCTTTGATCTTTTTATCTTTTATCTTTCTTATGTTCTTATGTTACTATTATCTTATGTTTACTTTAATGTTATCCATTTAATGTTACTTTATGTTTTAATCCTTCTTATCTTACTTCTCTTTTTGGGAATAAGGCTTGAATGTTGTTGTTATTGGTGTTGTATCCATGTATACACACACTTAATTTTGTAAAATACTCTCTATAATCAGTATCATTTTTCACTTTTTTCTGATCATATTAGTTGATTGTTGCATTTCTACTAAAGTTGTAGTAACAAAAGGAATTTAGGTAACTTACCCTCTTGCCCTGCCCCAATTTCAGTTCTAAAAAACTTGAAGGTTTTGCAAGTTGCGTCCAACAAGGTCACAGATTATGGTGTCACATTTCTGCGAGGTAATTACTGGATTTCACCATGCCTAATAATCTTATATTTATAGTTGTATCTATCCAATCCGATGAGTTGTGGAATGAATAATTCGTCATTGCTGCAGCTTTGAACAAACTAACACTTCTGAACATGGAAGGTTGCCCTATAACAGCTGCATGCTTGGAATCTCTTTCAGGTATGCTATTGGTAGGAGTCTTTCCTAAGCATTTTTATTTATTTATTTTCTATTTTTAATTCTTTAGTTCTGTTGTTTAGAGCAAGTTAGAAAATGCAAATTTCTCAAGTACATTAACTTAGGCTATATAAGGAACACATGAAAATGGTAGGGACAGAAAAACAACAAATGCTCCAGTGTTGATTTCCATATGTTTATATTTCTTAGTTTTGAAGTAATATAGATATATAAATAAAAGAGTGAAAATACATGCTCCTCCGTCTCTTAGAACTTTGACATCTTTCTTTTTTGGGACGTCCCAAAAAATTTTGCCACTTTCCCTTTTAATCAATTATTTTGTGGTTTATGTTATTTCTCTCTCCTCCGTAGAAACCTCAACCACACACTTTTTTCTTTATTATTCTCTGTGCCGGTCAACTTTGGCAAAGTTACAAGGGACGGAGGTAGTATATAATTGTTTTATTGAGTTTGAACCAACCCCCCCCCCCCTCTCAAATTTGGTTTCATTCCAAACTTCCATCTACTTTTGTTCCATTTTATGACAGAGACCTGGACTTATGGGCTTAATATTTTAATAAAATGTAATAGTGGGCTAGGCCTAATAATTAGTCGTCTCCCAGTTCTCCTCGCCGATCTTCATCGCCAGCAGCTTCATCTTGTTGGCCAGCTTTGCAGCGAACAATTACTTCGAATTCTCAGATTTCATCGCAAACAGATGTCCTTAATTTGCAGGTTTCATCACACGCCTCATCTCACAGTGCTCAAATTTCATCGCTCACAATGAAGTTGAGGCCGTCTGAATCATCAATCAAGGAACCAGGTCCGGATGATGATTCGACTCAAACTACCGGATATCCTCCAAATTATCTGGAAGATTTGAAACTGCCTGAGGTGGATGAAAATGGAATTCGCTCAGGTAAAGTGGAAGAGCAACTGCCAAGGCAACCGGAGGATCACAATGAAAGGGAGAGCACGGAATAGGTTTCAGTGGGGGAAGGAGCAGACAACTACTTATACCTGGGAACCTGTGAAGGAAGCAGTTAACATTACTCAACCAGAATGGGTTCAAAATTCATTTTCATTAATGTTTAGCTTTGAACGGGTAGGCACAGTATTGAAATTCAGAGATGAAGACAAGAGGGGATGGAAGGAAAAAGGAGGCTGTATGTACAAACCTCAGTATGGGGTGGAAGGATTGAAAAGGACACTTATCAGTAATGTTGAGGGAGGCACAAACCGCCAAGTCTTACTCTTATGCTGTCGGTATGGTTTCCAAGTTTGGAATGTGGAAGAACCTGGTGGTGTTCAAAATTTAGTTTCTAAGCAAGATGGTACTGTTCCATTCATGCAAAGTTCACCCATTCCAATTTCATCAAAGCAAAATATGGATGAAATTGCTAATAGTTGGCCATTGTTAATAATTTGTGGTGATGTTCTAACTATTGTTGGGTTTTATTACTTGAGTTTTCACTCTTATGCACTTCATGTGAAGTTCAGATCAGTTGTTCATCCTTTGAGGTGCTCTAGAGTGGTTACTGTCCTACCAGCGGCTCAGCGGCTCAGATACACTGTGGTAATGAAGCAGATTTAGTAAGGGAATGTGGAAATGGAAACCTGGGCATTGGACCTCTTGCGGTTGGTTTTAGGTGGATGGCTTATACTGGAAATCCAGTTTCTATGCCTGCCGTACTAAAAGGTTCTTCCAACTGTTTGACTAAAGCTGATGGTGTTTGTATGTTGTGCTGCCCAGTTATTGCTCTTAACGCAGTAAGATGGGACTACGTCAGGGACTTGGTTATTAAGTGGAGAGGAGCTTTTGTGGAGGAAGCAACACGAAAAGTTATAAGCCATGTGCATGGATTTTCACCTACTAATTTGCTAGTAATAAAGCTGCAACCTGCAACAAGTTTCTCTGAAGTTGGGAGGCAGCCTTTTAGTGATTCTGAAATGCATAAAAAGGGTTTAAAGCAGTTGGCAAATGGAAAAGAGATCTTGCAGAGTTTTCTTATGCCAGTTTGTTATCCACAGTTGAAACAGCAGCATGTTATGCACCACTCATGAGATTGCTTGCTCCAATTAATTCTAGGTCACATGAATACTATTGGAAAACTTCCGCTAATACTTCTACATTGGAATCTTCCCTTGTTTTTAGTCAGTTATTTGATGTTTCTGTGGTTCTTCTTATCAGTCCTGGTGGATACTTCATGTCAGATGCTACAATTCCCAGGAGTGAAGCAATTGAGACCCCAGAACTGGGGTTATATCCGGAGGCAAGAGCTGTTAGCAACTGTAAGATTGAGCACTTGTTGATTGATAAAGTTCAGTTCCAGCATGAACAAAGCCACCCGAGTAGGACTGATGCTCTAAAGGTAGATGATCTATTGATTCTTTTGCTAGAAGAATTGAGGAGGAAGATTAAGTATGGAAGCCCCTTGTCCAGCAAACAAGTACTGAAGTACTGGGAAGGAAGAGGCACGAGGATGAAGCTGGATGGCATGGCTGCTCTTACTCCCCCACCTTGAGGATAGGTTGTCAAAGGGGGGAGTGATGATAAAGACCTGGACTCATGGGCTTAATATTTTAATGAAATGTAATAGTGGGTTGGGCCAAGTAATTAGATAGATTGAGGGAAGCCTCATTTGGAAAAGAATAAATAGAGGGAATAGAAGAGGGAGAGGGTAGGCAGAAATTGGATTTGGAATTAGGCCTTGGGAGTGCGAGACGATTCGAAATGTCTCAAACCTTTCTTCTCTTCTATTTTCTGTTTTCTGCTACTGTTCGTGGGTTTAGAGTTATGTGCCATTGTACTGGATCGGTTCCTCAGATTTTATCAATTGAACACTAAATTTCTGCTGCTTTGTTGAGGTACCTAACATTTTACCATGATCCAAGTGGCCCCTTGGTGCTCTTTCATGCATCTAGAATTTCATTTCAATGGTATATTGTAATTGTTAAGTTACCCCAACTCACGTATAAAGATACACACATATAAGATATTGAGTTACTCCTCTTATCATGTTTAACCTTGTATTGTGATACCCAAAATATCACTTTACTTTAGAGCCCATTTGGCAACAATGAAATTGATCGAGTTTGCTAAATTATTTAAAACAACAACATTATCCCAATGCCACAAAGGTTCCCACCTACGGTGGGGTAAGGGGGAGTCGGAAGTACGCAGCCTTACCCCTGTACTAAAACATAGAAAGACTATTTCTGGATGATCCATGATGAACATCACGTCGAAAATTGCATGGACTGGTTTCCGAATGACTTGGTTTTTATTCCACAATTAATCCATACAACTAAATTCAACCTTACTTTATATGAAAAAAACTAAAAAAGTTCTCTAAAGCAATTCAACCATAAAACTAACTTTAACCTTACTTATTTGATTATTACACAATTCAATGTGTGAAATCAAAAGTTTAATGTTTTGGTAGAAAAGTTGGCTGAGAAGCTGTTTTGGTGTGACTTTGGGATTTTTGTTTTTGTTTTATGCAGCGCTTGGTTCTCTCTTGTATCTCAATCTTAGTAGATGCCATTTGACTGATGATGGCTGTGACAAGTTTTCTGGTTAATCTCTTCACCTAATTAAACGTCACATTCTACTATCATTAGTCCAAATATGTAACACTCAACTTTGTCATTGTGTAGGCATACCGAGTTTGAAAGTGTTGAATTTGGGATTCAATGGGATTTCAGATGCTATTTTCATACACCTCAAAGGTGGGTTTCTTCTCTGTTGTTTATACCGCCAATCCATGTGACACCTCAAAGGTGGTTCTTTCTTATTTATTTTCCTACGTACTTTCTTTCTGTTGTAATTTTTGGATTCCAATGGGACCCTAATTATTTGGTGAAAGCTATCACCCCTTCCACCGACTCTATGATGAAAGGATGGGGTGGGATTGGAATGGGATTTCCACCTCAATGATCTCTGTACCTGCGTATCCCTTGTCAATTGTCATTACACTTATGTATGTGAATTTCTGAATATTTGTGATGTCCTCATTATCTCAGAATGGCAGGATATTTATACAACCTATTGGGGAGAGAATTTAAGACATTAACTATACAATCTGCTAATTTAGACAATAGAATATCCTATTTCTAGAAAGAATAAAATACAGGAGATCGTATTAATACCAAATCAGATCTAAAGTACAACAGTAAATATTCTCTAAATCAGGAAATAAATCCACTCCCCCTCAAGCTGGGTTGTGAATGTCAAACATCCCAAGCTTGCTAATTAATTCTTCAAAAACGGTTCTTGGTAGAGCTTTCGTAAGAATGTCAGCAGTTTGAAATTTTGATGGAATACACCATGCTTGAATGATGGAGTTCTCTATCTTCTCAGTAATGAAGCGTATGTCTATGTCAATATGCTTAGTCTTGTCGTGATGAAATGGATTTTTGGCAATGCTAATAACAGCCTGATTGTCACAAAGCATTTGTATAGACCCTTCTTTAAATACCCCCAGCTTGCCAAGTAATCTTTTCAGCCACATCCTTCACATATGCCAATAGCTAGCGCTCTGAATTCTGCTTCAGCTGAACTTCTAGAAACAACTGACTGTTTCTTACTTCTCCATGTTACTAAATTTCCCCAAACATAAGAACAGTAACCAGAAGTACTTCTATCAGTTACATCTCCCGCCCAATCTGCGTTCGTGTAGACCCTAATTTCTTTATTGTCATTTTTCCTAAAAAGAAGACCTTTTTCTGGAGTCATTTTGAGGTATCTAAGGATTCTTGTCACAACATCCATGTGTTCCTCAGTTGGATTATTCATGTATTGGCTCACCACACTTACAGGGAACCAATATCAGGTCTAGTATGGGATAAATAAATAAGCCGTCCAACTAGCCTTTGATATCTCCCCCTGTCCACAGGTGCTCTACCTGTCTCTGAGCCAATCTTTCTGTTAGAATCCATTGGAGTTGAGGCTGGTTTACACCCAAGCATTCCTGTTTCCTTGAGTAAGTCTAGAACATACTTTCTTTGAGAAACAAAAATACCACGCCTTGATCGTGCAATTTCAATGCCTAGGAAATATCTAAGATAACCTAGATCTTTAATCTCAAATTCCTTTGATAAAAAACTTTTCAAGTTTTCCAGCTCTTCCTTGAAATCTCCTGTAAGTATTATATCATCAACATAAACTATTAGGACAACTATCTTTTTATCTTGTGAGTGTTTCACAAACAACGTGTGATCTGCCTGACACTGAATATAGCCTTTTTTAATGACTGATTTAGTAAACTTTCCAAACCATGCTCGTGGAGATTGCTTAAGGCCATATAGAAATTTCTTTAGTCTGCATACTTTATTTTTGTTGGATGAACACTCAAAGCCCGGTGGAATATCCATGTACACCTCTTCTTCCAGGTCACCATTCAAGAAAGCATTCTTCACATCTAGTTGGTGCAATGACCAGTCTCTATTTGCAGCAACAGAAAGTAGAACACGAATGGTATTAAGTTTAGCAACCGGAGCAAAAGGTTCTTGATAATCAATCCCGTAAGACTGAGTGAACCCCTTAGCAACAAGGCGAGCTTTAAACCTCTCAATGCTACCATCTGCCTTATGTTTAATAGTGAATACCCACTTGCATCCCACTGGTCTCTTTCCAGATGGTAAATCTGTTATGTGCCAAGTTCCATTCTTCACCAAAGCATTGATTTCATCTTGTACAACCTTTTTCCAGCTCGGATCAATCAATGCTTCTTGAATTGTGTGAGGAATCTGTACACTATCAAGAGCTGAAACAAATGCTTGATAGGACAGAGATAATGTTTCATAGGACACAAAATTGCCAATGGGATGTTTAGTGCAAGCACGAACTCCCTTTCTCAAAGCAATAGGCAGATCATCATCTATATCAGTAACACTATCATGACAAGGATTACTCATACTTGAATGCATTTCTGGAGGATGTGAATCCAGTTCCAATTCATGACAGTCCGGTAGATGTGTCCGTTCTTTCTCAGAGTTCTTCCTTTGATAAACACGAAGTTCTTTAGGTTCAGGATGAGAATTAACGATTGGTGACGGTCCAGACGTGTTTTCAGTGACTTGAGATGAACTAGATGGATTAAATGGAACTTAATTTTCTATGACATCTTGACGTTCTTGGACTGAGTTCATAGGTTGTGGACTGGTGAGTTTAAGACAAGGTGCAATAGATGAGATTTCCTTTATAGGAGTATGACTGTTTGGAACAGTTACTCCCCAAAGGTGAGATTCACTTGCATTCTCCCCCTGAATCTCAGATTTGTAGTAAGCTTGTGATTCGAAAAAGGTGACATCCATAGAGTTGTAGGTTTTTCGTGTAGTAGGACAGTATCACTTATAACCCTTTTGATTAGATGAATAACCTATGAAGATGCATTTGATAGATTTGGGATCTAACTTACTACAATGTTGTGAATGAATATGGACAAAAACGGTGCAACCAAAGACCTTAGGATCAACAAAGCTAATGAACCTTGTATGAGGGAATATTTCCAGAAGAGTTTGACACGGAGTTTGAATTTTCAGCACTTTAGATGGCATCTGATTAATGAGATAGGCAACGGTGAGAACTGCATCCCCCCACAAAACTTTAGGAACATGAGTCCCAAACATGAGAGATCGAGCAACTTCAAGAAGATGTCGATTTTTTCATTCAGCGATTCCGTTTTGTTGAGGGGTGTCAACACAAGAACTTAAATGGATGATGCCATGTTCTACCAAATAGGTGCCAAGAATAGAATTAATAAATTCTTTGGCATTGTCAGTTTTGAGTACTTGAATCGTAGTGTGAAACTGAGTTTGAATCATAGAATGGAAGCGCTGAAAAATTTCACTCACTTCTGACTTATTTTGCATAAGAACCCAAGTTAATCTTGTATGATCGTCTATAAAAGATACAAACCATCTCTTTCCTGTTATAGTGTTTATGCTTGAAGGTCCCCACACATCACTATGAATCATTGAAAACGGTTTGGATGGTTTATATGTTAATCTAGAATAACTAGTCCGAGTGTGTTTAGCAAACTGACAAGTCTCACAGCAAAAAGAACTTGGATTTTTATTCAAGAATAAAGAAGGAAACCGTTTTGACAAATACACAAAATTTGGATGACCAAGACGGTAGTGCCATAACATGATATCACTATCTTTATTAGACAAAGAAACCGACTGACTATTCAAAGAAGTAAACTGAACTTCTGGTTTATGCTAGTGGATGAGACTTCATCATGTAGAACATACAGTCCAGAACACATCTTAGCACTGCTAATCCTCTTCCCCGAGTCCAAATCTTGAAATACACAAAGATTTGAGAAAATTTTTGTCACACACAATGGTGTTCACTTTACTGATTGAAAGTAAATTACAGTCTAATTTACGCACATAAAGCACATATTTGAGAGTTAGGTCCTTTGTTATTCTGATTGAACCCGTACCCTCAACATGAGAAAGTGAGCCATTGATATGAAGCGGGAAGAGCATGTGGCGGGACCGGGCTTGGGCCCACTTCCGTGGGCCGGTTAGGGGCTGAGTTTTTAATTTAATTAGTTTCAATTATGTTAGTTCTTTTATTATTGCTATTTATTTTATTAGAATTTCCTTAGGTTGGTACGTATGGAGTTCCCTTACCTTTAGGCTTGTGCGCAAATCTGCTTCCCAATAGGATAGGCTAGCTACGTACAATTAATTAATTAGCTTATTGGTTTCCTACTAGAACTTAAATGTTCCTATACGATACTAGGATAGCATTATTTATACCCACGTAGGGTTATTCAGTCGGGGGAATAAAAATTTGAGATTTGTTAAGCTAAATTAGCTTGGGCAACGGATTCTTCCGTTGATTATTCTGGGCAACGGTTTACCCCGTTGATTTTATTTTTCTGTTCTTATCAGCCATCTGCAATTTTGACTGTATGATTTCCTTTGTTCATGTGATCTGAAGCTCCGAAGTCTAGGATCCAGGATTGTTAGTGCATATATTGACTAAACAAACAACTGATTTATTACCTCCCATAGCCAACATTCCAGTATCCTGCGTAGATGTCGGTTTGGTGGAAGATTGATTCAGAAGTTTCTGAAGAGCCTCAAGTTGAGCTTTAGTGCATGGAGCTGATTCAGGCACATCATTTAACTCTCTGACAGCTGAATTTGATGTGGCAGCCACATTTCCGTGACTGAAACGATCACCCCCCGCCTTTGGTTTCCAATTTTGAGGCTTCCCGTGAAGTTTCCAGCATGTTTCTTTGTAGTGTCCAGGTTTTCTGCAGTGGTCGCACCACGGGCGGCTTCCCTTATTTTGTCGATTATCCAGATTTGCTCCCTAGATTTGCTCCCTGAGGCTGTCGACGGGCAGCAAGGGCAGAAGATTGCAGATCTGAAGATAGAATTGAGGAGCCCATCATAACCTTTTTCCTACTTCTTCAAGGCAGACTTCAGAAAATGCTTCTTTTACCTTAGGTAGGGTCTTGGTACTCATGATTCGACCTCGAACATCATCCAGATTTCTACGGAGGCCATGAAGAAATTTGAAAGTTCTCTTTTTCTCCACAATGGAACGATACAATGTTGTATCGTCAGCACACTTCCAAGCATATTCTTCAAATAGATCCAACTGCTGCCAATAGCGAGTGAGAGTGTTAAAGTATTGAGTGACAGAGGTATCACCTTGATGGAGATCATGTAAGGCTGCCTCGATAGCAAAAAGCTCAGAAGTA